CAGATCCGGCCTTATCTCCTCCGTATGCAACTACATTCTTCCTTCATTTCTCTCTGCCTATCACAACACCTGTGAATGCAACCCATTGAAATGTGTACTGCGTAGATCCTCTGATACAACTCGGCCACCGTACATTTGAAGTAGTTAATTTATCAAACAGAGTTTGAAGGCAAAAAAAAATATGGTAAAGAAAGTTGATTGTATTCCAACTTCATTGCTGTCAACTTCTTCTTCTTCTTCTTCAACCCGCAATTCAATGAGAACGGTGAAGTCGTCGACACCGTCACAACTTGCCTACTTTAATCACAGCCAACAATGAATAAAAGTGTTAGAAAATCCTAACAAAAATGAAGGTGGATAGACTTTGGAATTCATCCAAGCAAACGACCACAACTTCTCTCCAACACTGACTGCATAAGCAAGGAAAAGTGGACTTCAGAATCGCCTTCTTCGAGCATTTAGTAGTAAAGACGACAACAAGGAAAGTAGTAGCAAAAGAAGAAGATCCATCACAGACTCCTGTGTCGGGTTAAAAGTCCTACTCATAAAAAGGCATTAAGATAAGGTGAAAAACGTTTCAGGATGAAGCATGCCGTACAGTAGACACACAAGGCGGGATGGGATATTTCACCCAAGGTGACAAAGAGGGACCATCTTTAAGGGTCACACCAACTCAACTTCAAATTTTAGGTGTTAGAGCATGGCAGTAGGCTCAAAAACCATCGGAAAGGCAATGCAGTCCCCAAGCAAAGGAAGAAGTCCCTTCCATCGTCTCTGCAGTAATTGACAAAGCTGTTTCTTTCTTCTCGCAATGCAGGTGTTCAACACCTGAATCACTTTAAAGAGGATTCATGTGATAAACACAACTTGGGCGTTGTCTCAATTGTTCCTCGAGTTGGACACTTTTTGCGTGCACAACTAGTGGAGAGTAGCGAGGATTTAAAAATGTGTGTGGACTGCATTCAAGAGACGGGTGGATGGAAAATGTACCTCGATTGGAATGCCAATATGGACGTCTGAAAGGGAAATGTCGGAGGACACCGCTCCCCC